AACACTGCCACCAAGCATTGGATCAACACCACGAATCATCACCGTACTTCTGTCACCAGCACATCGACCTTCTGTATATTTACCATAGAGAAGACTCGAAAATCGACCCTGTATTTAATTGTTGCGGTGTCTTAGACTCTCCCTACTTGCACTTGACGTTATACTGGCTGTCAAGAAAGAGAGAGTCAAAGATTTTCGCCCAGAGCTTGACCAGACTGTTCAGCTCAGTGTTATCTTTCATGCTGCTATTTAGAGAGCTGCTCCGATGACGATATATGTTGATGACATGAGCATAGATATTAAATATATGTTCCTTGTCACTGTTCAAAGCAGCAGATTCTGACTTTCTTGTACTTTGGTAGGCTTTGTCAAGGTCTGTTGTCATAAAAAAAGGGACGCGAGAACCAAAAGACAAGGAGAATTTAAACAGCAGGCAACCTGATTTGACTACGCTAGATATAGCTATAGAATACCACATCTAGGAAGTTAAGGTGCCAGAATACACGCTCACCAGACACCAAAAAAGGTGTGAGTTCACCTAAAAAGCGTTCTTCATTGCTTTATTGATTTTTTTTTAAAAGGTGGCTTGAACACTTGCTTGTTGAGCTTGATGTTAAACCGGTACTTGCTTTTCATCATGACCCATTCTTCGTCATTAAAAAATCTACGCTGTGAATCTGTAGATTCATCTGATAAGTCAATGATACTGTCAAGACAAAGACCTGCGACGTGCGTTTGCTTGTTGTTGAGTCATTGGTATTGTCTTGCTTCAGTAAACCAATCAGAATGTTTGAAATACTCAAACGCATCTTTTTCAATTAAAACCAGACAGTCCAGGACGGCTTTATCGTTATCCAAACAATAAAGGACATTTCCACCTGCTTAAATCACGAAGCACCGCTTAAAACAAGCCTAGCCAGCTTAAAGCCCAGGCGCGAGCCAATAAAAATGCGTCAGCTTCGCCTTGTCGCTTGATCCTTGTACCTACCGAAACACCATCAAAGAAAAGACTATCAGTCTCCACCTAGTTTTAAATGTTAGAGTATATGAAGCGACATAATGTTATTTTACCATCCTTACCTTGGGGGTCTCCGCTTTGCGTTTCATACGCGTGGCAGTCGACACTTCTCTATGCATAGACGAAGAGGCGGCCAAAAGACGACTTGATGCAGCTGCATCCAGATCAGCACGAAGGAGGTTTGTGTTCAGTTGGTTTCTGGCTTTGCTGCGCATTTCCCAATATAATAAAGCTTCATCTGTGTTAAGCACCTCGTAATTATGGAGCTTAACGTTTTCGCACCATTTTCTGACAACCTCAGGACACGAATCCCTGTTAAGGAGCGAGTCAATGGTGATTTCAAATTGGTATGTAGCACCATCTCTGCTGATATCAAAACAAGTTGACTCAAGAAATCTTACTGCGTCAAAGCTTTGGTAATCAGATAATACAATGACTCCGTAGTATGATACTAAGGAGTATTGCAATTAGTGTTCGGACTTTTCGAGCTTACGAGCAAGCTTCGAATGAGCTTCGAATGAGCTTCGCATGAAACTCGCTCAGTTATAAAGTGAATAAAAGTCACTTTAAATTCAAGGCTGCGAAAAGACGGACAATCACATTCTATTAACAATACTTTCTATTTCATTATTCTTTTTTGCTTTTTTAGTATGGTTTATACTTACAATCAAATGTAGATTAACAAACGTATCTAAAAAAATCCAGCCTTCTCAAATAAATGATACAAAAATTTAAGCTAAACTTGATTAAGCCGAACACGTGTACTGGGCGTACCTATAGTTGAAACAGTTAATAAGCTTTCCTGCTTATGTAAAATCCTATTCATGAAACACTGTACTCTATGTATTACAGTGTACGCCGTAGTTTATCATACACCGTGGGCCACTTCTCAAATTTTATTCTTATCAATTTGTATTTTACGTTAAAATTATATTTCAATAAATAATATTTTAAAATCATAACTATATTACTTTCACGTACAATTCGTGTATCATACTCTTGAGCGAATTCGAGCATTGGTTTACACAACCGAGCCGAGTCTACAAAACTCGAACAAGCTCGAACTTTTAAAAAAAAGCATTTGAGCGAGCTTCGACTGGAACACGAACGATGCGATCTTCATTCCGGATACTAAATTGCAATGATAAAATAGTAAAATGTGAAAATGACAAAATGTGAAAAATGCTTTTGTACGTGGAGCTTAAAATATTGGGTTTTAAATACCCAATATTTTCAATGCTTGCGTCATTATTTCATTCGGGAACAGTTCCGGTGTTTTTGTAACATACATTTTTTTTTTATTGATACAATTATTGATTAATGCGAATAATAATTTTTTTTTTCTAACTTGTTGGGGATAATTAAAAATGTGTAAAAATGGGATGGGGAGGAGGAGGAAATGGTAAAAAAAAAAGGAGGGTAGTGTCTATGCGTTCTTTAAATCGGTCATACGTTCCTGTAATTGTTCATAGGATTTGGTATCTTCAAAAATATCACGTACTTTACCCATTAAACCCTTCAGGATCAAACGAGCTTGATAACGCCAATCTGCACATACGGGAGCACCATCTTGTTTTTTATCACCTAAATTCTCGTACATATCTACGGTTTCAAGTGCGACAATGGTCACATCATCAAACACTGTCTCCTCAGTTTCGATACGAGGATCATGCATGACCGATCGATAGGCCTTGACCGAGGTTTCCAAAGCCTCGGCATAACGTTGCTGCCACAAATAAAATTTAGCACAGATCATCCAAATATCCGGTGAGTTGGTAATACGTGTCAAGATAACTTCTTCTAACAAACGTTGAACGTGGTGTGAGAGTCGAGCACCATCACGATCATGAGGATCTTTCCAGTTTTGAATGACATTTTCAACAATCATGCGTAAAACACCGATATCCACCGCCTTTTCACGAGCAGAATCCCATCTTAATTCGACAATACGTTGCATGGCATAGATGGCGTCTGCAAATTGTCCCACATCCACTGCCGTAAACAATAAATTCTCCCACATCTTCCAGCTATCAAACTTGATCTTGGTGGCTTGCTTCAACGCTAAAAAGGCATCTGTCTTACGGTTCATGCGAAGATAGATACTGGCTAAATTGTTCCAAGCTTCCGGTTGATCATCGTCCAAGGCAACCACACGTTGGAAAGCACGCGATCCGACCTCCCAGTTCTCTGCAAAGATGGCAGCGCATCCAAGGATATACCAGGAGCCTTCAAACAGAGGGTTGATATTGAGGGCCTTTTGGTAACTATCAATGGCGCCTAAATAATCTTGACGCTTGTATTGGTAAGAACCTAAACTACGCATAGCACGGGCATAACGATGGTTGGAGATTTCCCATGACTTGAGCCAATGGGCGGGTTCGGCTTCCAGGTCACCCAGAATACACCAGTACTTTGGTGAATTGGGGTTTTTTTCCATCAAATTCTTCAAAATGTCCTTGGCCTTCTCAGGTTGTTCCAACATTTGATAACAAGAGATAACATCTTCCCACATTTCTAAACGCTCAAAGATTTCGGCAGCAGATCGAATCACACCAAGTGACACAAAACGACGGGCTAACTCACGTTCCATTTCCCATTTACTAGGAATTAATAAATCGTAGAAATAAGCAAGACGTTCCTCTACACCTGAATCCTCCACTTTGACTTGATCTACCAAGGCTTGCAATTGAAGTGCAGAACGTTCTACGGTACGACCTTTATTGGATTCCAAACGCGAACGTAACAATAAACCCATGGTATGGACCATCCAATTATTGGCATTTTCCAGTACACGGGTGACATAAGGGACCATTTGCTCTGCAGTGATACCATGATCGGGATTGGTGTTCTTGACATTCAAACAAAAGGCGAGTAAAAGACATTGATCAATGACGTTCAAGTTACCATGACGTTGATCGGATTCGGTTTGATTTTTTTCGTTCTCAGTAAAGGCGATACGTTCCAAGACGGTATCGTCATTTAAATCCAAGGTCTCGGGACGAAGTGCATCTTCGTTGGTGCTTGACTTTTTTTTACTTTCGGCTAAAACGACCAGTTGTGAGATATCAAATGTCTGAAACTTTGTACGACGACCCAAGGAACCTGTCAGGGACCAGGTGAATCCAGATTCCTTTTGTGCTGATTCCATCTTTTCCAAGGCTTCCTTGTCTTGTCCAAAGAAATTATAAATTAATCCCACTTCCAAATCATGACGAATCTTGAGCGCTTCGGTAGATTCGGCATCCAACTTGGCAGATGTCAATTGGGCGGCACTCTCCTCTGCCAATGTCTTTAATTCGTTTTGAAGTGACGCTGTGAATTCATCTAATAACTGCTGTTGGATAAAGGTGGCACGCATGGCCCAGAAGGAACCTGTCAAGGTGTCGGATCGTACAGCGTAAAGTAATGTACGTGCCATGGCTAATAATCCAAGCTGTTGTGTCAAATGATAGACTTCTTCACTGTCAACCGAAAGTGATTTGAGGCATGCTTCATGAAGGGTCTTTTCTAAACTGTCGTCATGGTGGCCCAGGAATAATTCGGAGACGGAAAAGGCAAGCACAGGTCCAGTCCAGTTGACTTGCACAAAGGCATTAAGACAGGCAATACCTGTGGTCAGGATATGGAAACGCACGTTCTCATCGGTTACATCCAATTGTGAAAGACGGTCGCTGATCCATGCTTGAATGTCGCCTGAGGCCTTAAAGGCTTCTCCATCCACGTTTTTAAACACAAGGCTGTCCTTGATGACTTGAGCATATTTTCCTTGTTGTAATTGGTGTACGATGGTATTGAACTCGGTGTCGGCTGTCACGGGGTTATTGAGCACAATGGCTACTTCTGCATCGGTCATTGACATGTTATAAGTTGGAAAGAGATAGAACTGTCTCTTTTTCTTTTTTAAACTTTTGTATGCAAACTAAAAAAAAAAAAAAAAGCCCGAGAAAAAAAAAAAATTAAAATAAGCCACAATATTTGTAAGGGCAATTCGAATTTAAAGGAACAGGATGGAAGGAAGCAACGGATATGACTAATGTATCCTTGACTACCTTTTTTTTTTTCTAGCTAGCGGTTTGAAAAAAAAAGAGTGACAGCCTCCCAGTGATGCCTCCAATTTAGGCAGTCGTTCAGACTCTTGAGCATCCAAATTTAAGCATAAGCTATCTTTCTTCTTGCTATGCAAAGTACAGTCAACGTAAAATTAAACACTGAACCTTGGATTTACTACCAGCTTTCACTTTAGTTAACGCACTGGCTGCTAACTGTTTATAACTGTTGATTGAATCAACACTAAGAGAAGGTCCCCTAATTCAGACCTACCAAGTACTTTTTTAGGGTGACATTCAGCTACTCCAAACCTATCTCAACATGCTTTTTATTAGGTGTATCTGAATATGCTGTACTAAATCTAAATTTTATGAGAGAAACATGTATGGGAGTAATGTAAATTTTTTTTAAAAAAAGAAGTCCAAACTAATCAACCGAGGGAAGGGCAGGGCATCTAAAACTTTATAGCACCATTTGTGGAGAAACACGGTGGCACTTGATACCCCCACCCAATGATTTGAGTTTGAAATGACGTTCAAAATCATGCTAAAAAAAACGATTGGGATGTGTCTTTCGCAATGGATATTTTATGAATGCAAAAAGCACAGGTATATACAAAAAGGTTGTGCATACAACCAGACACTTATCATGTTTCTATATGGATGTAAATATAGATAAAGAAGGTAAATATTTACACGAATGATGATTTGGAGGGAACAAACAATGATGTAAGTCTTATTTTTGTGTGTGTGTGTGTGTGTGCACACAGGGAAACGAAACGATCTGTCCCCCTTTAAGGGTAAAAGCAAAAAAAGTGGGAGAGCTAGACTATAAAGAGTATCCCGAGTTACACAAGACAGACCTATATAATAGAGCACAAAGGAACGATGAGGTTGCTTTCTTTTTTCTTTTTTTTTCTTTTTTTTTTACTTTGTATTTCTAAATAAACAATTAAAAGATGTTGAGTGCAGATATCCAACATGCTGTACCACAGATTGATGGAACACCAGAACAACAAGAAGCCATGACAGCATTGCATCATGAATTCAACGTTACCACACAACGAGCACGTACCATTGTTCAACAATTTGTTGATGAAATGGAAAAAGGATTAGATCATGAAGGTGCTACAGGTAAGCGTACATTCTTTTTTTTTTTCTTACCGCGTCCCCCAACAATTAAAAAAAAAAAAATCTTCCCAGTTCCAATGATTCCCAGTTTTGTCACTGGTCGTCCCACAGGGCAAGAAAAGGGAAAATACCTTGCCCTGGATTTAGGTGGAACCAATCTTCGGGTGTGTGAATTCGAATTGAAGGGAGACGGTGATTTCTCGGTACATCAACAAAAATACGTGGTTGCTGAAGAGCTCAAGACGGGTGATATGCGTCATTTATGCGATTTCATTGCTGATTGTGTAGATAATTTCATTACGGAATTTGGCTCCCATCATGTAGACCACAGTATTCAATTGGGTTTTACCTTTTCATTTGCTGTCAATCAAACCGATATTAATCGAGGTACCTTGATGCATTGGACAAAAGGATTTAATTGCACAAACGCCATTCATAAAGATGTCGTCGTTCTCTTACAAGACGCCTTTCTTCGAAAAAACGTTCAAGTGCATGTGGCCGCCGTAAGTCCTTTTTTTTTTTCATTTTTGGGAAGTAAATTTTTATTTATCACGGGAAAATTAATTTCTTTACCCAAACCCAATTTTTCAGCTTGTAAATGATACAGTCGGGACTTTGATGGCAAATGCTTATCGTTACCCAAAAACATCAATGGGTATTATTCTTGGTACAGGAACCAATGCTGGTAAAGTATGGGGAAACAATAAAAAAAAATTAGCGGCTTACCTACAAATACTCACACGCCCCCCATTCAATTTATATATATATATATATATATATAGCCTACTATGAAAAGCTCGGGAAAATCAAGAAATGGAAAGGAGGAGAACAAGTGTTTGACGAGATGGTGATTAATATGGAATGGGGAACCTTTGATCTTGAACGTCGTGTACTACCTTTTACAATCTATGATAACAAATTGGACAGAGAATCCATCAATCCACGCAAACAATTGTTTGAAAAGATGATCTCTGGTATGTATCTGGGAGAGATCACACGTAATGTCATTTTACAGCTCGTGGATGAACGTATTCTTTTCTCGGGAGAGTCTTCAGCTGATCTCAACAAACAATGGGGTTTCGAAACCGCTTATCTATCCACCATGGTCGTGGATGATACGCCCCAATTAGACCATGTGCGTCATATATTGGAAGAAACACTTCAGATCCCATCCACCACCCATGGCGATCGTCAGGTCGTCAAGGAGATTGCTATTGCTGTGGGTCGTCGTGCCGCTCGTCTCTCTGCCTGTGGTGTGGCTGGTGTTTTGCTTCATACGGGTGAGATTCATACCGGTGCAGATATCGCTATTGATGGCTCTGTCTATGAGCATTTCCCTCATTTTGAAAAATACATGGTGGAAACCCTGCAAGAACTTTATGGTCAGGATATTGCTAATCAGGTCCAATTTTCTTTAGCAAGAGATGGGTCTGGTTTTGGTGCTGCCATGATTGCCATGATGGCTCACAAAGCTAGTCTTGCCAAGCAAACTTAATTTTTTTTTTATTAATTATGTGTGTGTGTGTGTGTGTGTGTATACACGCAGTTTTTTATTCTATTTAATTAAAAAAAAAGAGAGAATGATTCATCCTAAATTACTGACACTTGTAGCACTGTCCTTCTAAAACCCAGTTCATACAGTGTGGACCCAGTGTCTCCCTTTCTTTTTACCATGGTAACCCGTTCTTCGTGGGAACCGCTTCCGCAGAAAAAAAAAAGGAAGCACGTGAAGAGAGGTTCTATTTGATATCCATCCCCCCCTTTTTTTTTTATCCCAATCTCAACGAGGGGTGGCAAAAGGAAGTCTATTTTTATTTAGTTTTTTTTTGCCCCTGGAGGGGTTTGTAAAAAAAAACAAGCATGAATTTTGTCTAAGCCTCTCTTTCTAACCAAGCTGTCAAACAAATTTTTTTTTTTTTTTTAATTTTTTTCTTATTTATTCTCACTCTCTCTTATTTACACAATGTCTTCCCGTTTAGCTAGACAATCCCTAGATTTATTAACAAGTGCACCAACCAAAAAGACCAACCAGTCAGCGTCACAGGAATCAAAAAAGCAACCAAAGATTAAATTACCAAAGATCAACAAAGGCATCAAGAAGGTGAAACACGAGATTCGCTATGGACAACATCAAAAGACCCGAGCCTTGCAAGCCGAAATTCAAAAGAGAGATAATCCCATTGGTAAGTGTACACAGCGAACAGAAAGAAGGCAATATATAAGGGCAAAAGATGATAATGTTGTTGTTGTATATATAGAAAAGTTAAAGACGGAAGAAGAGGCCCTTGATGAGAGAATGAAGCGTAATGTACAAATTATGAAGCGAGCATTACGGTCCAGCAGTCTGGAAAAGAAGATTCACAAAGAGGTAAAGCACAATCCAAAGAAGAAGAATAGGGATTAATAGTGGGAGAATAGGTCATTCAGGAACGATTTGCCAAAAAGACGAAAAAGTGGAGCAGTAAAGTAGAGGACAGCGATAGCGAATAGTAGTAGTAATAAACTCGTGGCAACATGCTACACACAAATGGAGAGAGAGAGGATACACAAGGAAAAAATTAAACTCCACCTGATTAAAAAAAAAAAAAAAAAAAAAAGTATACAACAGTAATTAATTGCTTAATATATAAAGAATGGTGGTATTTATTACATGAAATTAAAATACGATTGGTATTATTGAGCTTGACTATTCGCTTTAACGAGAGTAGTGCCATCAACATTTGAGAATTTATAAGGATTGCTTTTTTCAGATATTGGGAAAATTAAATACTCCTTATAGGAAAAAAATCCATCTTTGAAAGGCATGAAGGCTGATATCAAAAAAGGGGGGAATTGTTGAAGAAAAATGAGTTGTATCTTTGGTAAAAAAAGCAATGTCCTCATGGGACAATTAGAAGCCATATCCTGCCAATGGCAAGGCACCAGATTTACTATGTACGGATCTCGTTTTACTTTTTTCTGATAAACTTCTTCTACTGTCACGATAACATTATTAACTTACCTTCTAACAATAATGATTACTTTCATTCATATTTGGCATGTCAATCGACGTAAAGACGAATATGTGTGTGTAGATCATCACGTGATTCCAAAAATAAATACGGAGTTTTAGATATTTCCCTCATTTTCAGTAGTAGTGAACAACTTTTGCATTGATTATATACTCGTTCTCCTTATGGTTGGTATTGTATGGTGCATCCTCTCTTATACGTGTGTGCTTTGATGTTGATCGTCTAGGATATACATTATTAAATGAAGAGTGTCGTATAGTAACTATATATATGAATAATGTACAACAGTGTTTACTAGTAACAGATCAAAATACAACATAAAAGCTAAATGCATCACTTGTATACTACCAATACAAGATATCCGCATTGTTACAGTTGGAATGGGGGGTAATTCTTCATTTTACGCGGTACAATAACTACCTGACATCCTACCTGTTCTTTTAGGTCTCACCATGGGTTACAAGAGTTGTTTCTACTACTTTCTTGTCTTCACTCGTCAATTTCGAAAAAGAGAGTGTTAGGAAACTTGCGAGTGAAACTCCTCTCACAACCCAAGTCTCTTATATACGATTTAATCAAATCCATATAAAATGGAAAAATATCTTTTTTTGAAGTACGAGTATACAGCCGTTTTGAGTATTATTTTAAAGTCGAAGAGCCAAACATGATATCCATGAGTAAAACAAACTTTATCTACATTAGATCCTTCATGACTACCAAAATATCTGTGTATTTAGGTTGACAGGGCGGGGCGGGGGAGGTCTTTGACTATCTTGTTCAGTATTAGCTATTTCGTAACCTCAAGGTTTGATAATTTGCCCTTGAGGTGATTGCTTGCTGCTACTGTATCTTTTTTGGTTGAGATGAGATCAGTTTTTTTATTAGCACCTTATTAATGGGCGGCTTTACCGAAAAAGAAGTCAAAAGTTGATATCCTCAATTGGGCTCCCTACTTGCTTGTACATCTAACCTGGAATTTGTACACTCGTTATTTTCAATGATTGTGGATTTTAGTGGGGGAAGAGTTCTATGTTTTGAAGACTATTTCCCTGAAGCTGTAGCAGTGATTCTCCCCATATTTAGAAATGTCTGAGTTTAAATTAAGGCTTTTCTCATTGGAGGATTTCCAAATTCCCCCTCCTTTTTTAGTTGTAAACACACCCTACCACCCCCCATATAAACAACTTGCACCCCCCTTTTTTTTTATCTTTTTAAACTCTTTTTTTTTTGTTACTTCCCCTATATATTTTTTTTTTGTCGTTGCTTTTTGGCTTCCCCCCCCTTTTCTCTCGTTTATCTTTAAACTTTTTTTAATTGGATTTATTCTCTCTTTTCTCTCTCTTTCTTGTATCTTTCTTTTCTTTATTAATAACACATGTCTGGTAAGTTTGATAAAATAATAAATAAAAAGAATAAAGGAACTAGTTAGCTAACCTAAGTTCTAAAACAGACCAAAACAATAGCCCCTCTGGCGTAAGTTTTTTGTTTTTTAAAATAAAGGCATGAGTGTACATCATCATCATCTTTTAACATTCTATTCAACACAGATTACTGTATTACGCAAAAAGTTGCAAGGTTATGTTGGTTTTGCTAACCTTCCTAACCAAGTGCACCGCAAGAGTGTAAAGAAGGGTTTCCAATTTACTACCATGGTAGTAGGTAAGGGGGTTTATTTTAGGAGTGGATCACTTTTAAAAAAAATGGGCACAAGGAGTTTTAACTTTTTTTTATTTAATAAAAGGTGAATCTGGTCTGGGTAAATCAACATTGGTCAACACATTATTCAACGCACAATTGTATCCTCCCAAGGAAGCTGTTGAATTAAGTCATGAAACCACACAAACTGTGGAGGTACAATCCATCACATCAGACATTGAAGAAAACGGTGTCAAATTAAGATTGACCGTGGTAGATACACCTGGTTTTGGTGATTTTGTGAATAACGAAGAAAGGTAACAGACCACGTTTTTTTTTTATTTGTCCCCCCCCCCTAAAATGTATAATGTAATGTATAGTTGGAAACCCATTTTGGATAATATTGAAGCTCGTTGTGACGCCTACCTTGAACAAGAGAACCGTGTCAACCGTCGTCGTATGGTAGATAATCGTATTCATGCCTGTCTTTACTTTATTGCACCCACCGGTCATGCCTTAAAACCTTTGGATATCGAATTTATGCGTAGACTTCATACCCGTGTTAATTTGATCCCCGTCATTGCTAAAGCCGATACCTTAACAGAGGAAGAGGTTGCTGCCTTTAAGGAGCGTATCTTGGCTGATATTGCCTATCATAAAATTCAAATTTATCAAGCTCCCGTCTATGAATACGATGATCAAGAAACCATTGCTGAAAACAAGGAGATCATGTCCAAGATTCCCTTTGCTGTCGTTGGCTCTGATAAAGAGTTTGAGATCGAAGGGGGTCGTAAAGTCCGTGGACGTAAATACCCTTGGGGTGTCATTGAGGTGGATAATGAAGAACATTGTGATTTTGTCAAGCTTAGACAAATGTTGATTCGTACTCATATGGAAGAACTCAAGGAGTTTACAAATGATGTACTTTATGAGAACTATCGTACCGAGAAGCTGACAGCTATGGGTATTCAACAAGATCCTTCTGTCTTTAAGGAAGTCAAGTAATGTGTTTATCCTTTTCTTATTTATCTGTGTACTTATTTGTTTATCAATTATTATGTAGCCCTGTTCAAAAGATGGAAGAGGAACGTCTTGCTCATGAGCAGAAATTAGCCAAGATGGAAGCAGAGATGCGTTCCGTCTTCCAAGCTAAGGTACAAGAAAAGGAAGCTAAATTGAAACAATCGGAAGAAGAGTTGTATGCTCGTCATAAGGAAATGAAGGATGCTCTTGATAAACAACGCTCAGATTTAGAAGAAAAGAAACGTCGTTTGGAATCTGGAAGACCTATGACTCCAGAGAAAACCGCTAAAAAGAAGGGTTTCTCCTTCAACAAGTAAAAAAAAAAAATCTATATTACCTCTCTCTCTCTCTCTCTCTCTCTCTTTCTTTCTTTCTCACCCACATTAATAAACACATACACAAATATTTCTTTTCTTTTTTATTTACGTTCAATGTAGATACGTTTGGAAGGTAAACCTTGACCTGGGACATCCACGTACAATTGTTTATATTCCCACTTTTTCTGTTCATTCTGCAAACAAAACTATTAACATTTCACCTACATACATACATACATTCTTCTTTTTTTACCTTAATCATCTCCAACATGACTGTGCCTTGGTTCTCTGGTCCCTCTACATAGAACCTCATAAACATGTGAGGCTCATTATTGGCATCTTCCACTACTTGCGACGTAATGCGACGATTACGTCGACGACTATTTCGGCTGGGCTCACCATGGCCCTTGACAGGTTCACCCAGTATAGCAACCAACTCCTCATGCTTACGAATCTTATCCACCGCGTCTGAAAAGACACTAGTCGCACTGTCCGAGCCAAAGAGTTCAGACCCAATGTAATATACAATTGTACCTGTAAGTGCTACACCTGCTAAAATCACACCTACATTCACCGTGGTTTTGGAAGCCACCACCACTAACCCAAGGGACGCGTGTTAATTCAAAAAAAAAAAAAAAAGGTCGTCGTTGTTGTTGTTGTTCTTACCCTTTTGTGGTGTGCTTAATTCACTCCATGGCTTCACGTTTTGTACTCCTAAAGCATGATTCGGCTTTTTAGGAACCGCAGGGGTTGAATAGAGTCTGCAACGTGTAGTTGGCTTGCAAATAAGACGTAAAGAGGGCGTACTTTTTTTAAAAACCTGAATTAGTACATGCGTTTTTTGCGTCATACAACTGTATTATTTTTTACCAGAGTGAACGAAGCATTATGTAAATAACAAAGAGAGGCGGGGTGAGGAAATTATATAAAAAGAAAAGTACCCGAAAAAATTATTGCTAGTTCGGTTTGATTTTCTTTTTTAGTGCGACTTCATATTTGAGGTACCCTTCTTTTTGAAAAAAGACAGTAATAGGCTGACTCGTGCTATTCATTACGAGAATAGAGAGGGGAGGCAAACCTTGATGCGTCTCTCTGTTTACTCAAATCTTTTTCTTTCGAAGGCAAATAGGAATGAGACTGAATAGGGTAGTGACATATCAGGCAAGATATTAAAGCAGTTCTGCTATTGACATCATTGGTTTACAAGGCTTTTTTTTTTTTTTTTTTTTTGGTACAAGGCTTTAATACTGTTGCGGTATCAAAATCTTATCTCAAATAACATTTTCCTACCAAGCAACAAATGAAGATGCGCTTGCAGGAGTTTCTTTCTTTTTCGAATTAACGATAATCAATAAAAAAAAGGGTTGTCTCGAATTTATTTCCTGTAACCATAGCACTTTTCTGAGTTTCAAACAAAAATTACTACTGTTTTTAAAAGAAAAAAAAAACGTGTTAGCTTTAATTTACAAGCGAGGATACACACAGGATTATTATTATTTTTTTACCTCCATATCAGCCAACATGGTTTGAATCTTGTTGGATGCAGCTTGAAGTAACTTTTTACTTATGGGTGTTTTCTTTGGTTGATGAAAATTTCGATCCGGTTTTCCACTAGGGTTCACTTGAGGTCGTCCAAAATATTGATCTGAGGAGATGGCTTTGGCATTTCCAAACTTGTCTCTCGCAAACGTATCTTCCTCCTCTGCCACGACGACTGCTTCCTTCTTCTTCTTCTGTGTACTACTTGTATTCAGTGAAAGTGACATCATCCCTAAACGTTCCTCTGTTTCCTTTACACTTTCATCCTTATCTCGATTCGATTCATAATAGTTCAATCGTGTTGAGGTGGGTGGTTGTAATTTAGGTATCGCTATCGTCGTCCCTTCGCTCTTCATGATTTGGTTGCGTTGGTTTCGTCCTATACTCTCTCCATCCATTCCTTCTTCTCGCATCTTTTCTTCTTGTAACGCTAATTGACTTTGTTGTTGGAATACGTTGCTTTGGACTTTACGTGCACCTAATTTACTACGATGATTGGTCTTGGGTTTAAACGTACGCTTGGTGGGTTTCACGGCCTGTTCAAATTGATCAAAAAAATCATCCACCGCCGCATTACCTTTGGGTGAAGGTGGCGTATGAGCGGCTAATTCGTCAAAAATTGAAGGTGGTGTCTCTTTCTGTGTATCAGGTGCTAATTCATCAAAGATGGAATTGCCTGTGTATGTTGTTGTCGTTGTTGTCTTTAGAGGTTTGAAAATATCAAAATCGTCCACATCATGTGTTGTGGGAGGTTCGACATGAACGGGTGGAGTATCGTCGAAATCAATGAGCGATGGCTGTTGTTGTTGTTGTTGCGGCGTGTCTAATTGAATTAAATTGGTATCTGGGACGTTGTCTTCTTTGTGAAGGACCCTTCTTTGTAGTTTCTCCTTGTACAGGAGACTGGCATGACTTGTGTACTTTGATTTCAAGTCTTTACAGTTTAAGACGGTTTCGCCTAATGCTTCACGCGCTTTAGCGTTACCACCCAGTATCATCATGTCGAGTTGGGGTTGAGTCCATGAGTCTAATAGAGTGGACCTGTACTCGTTGTAAGTCAAGATGCTTTGTGTGTGTGTGTGTGTGTTTCAACTTATTGAAAAGGGTTTTAAAGAGGCTTACTTTACAAAACTGATATGAACACCGAGATTACGATGAGCAGCAGCACAGTCTTGGCAGATAAAGATGCCTAACGTGACAGAAGCCCAAGTGGGTCCCTTGGCATTGCAATCAAAACATGCTTTATTGTGCTTTTTTTGAAGTAATTGTTTAAATGTGCTTGTCACTTGTGCTTTATCCATTTTTATAAGAAAAGAAAGAAGGAGGGGGCTGGGCCCTTAAAAATACTCCGTTCTTTTTTTTTTTTTTAAAAAAAAAAAAAAAAGGTATAAAATATAGATAATTTATTGAAAAGTAATTTTTTTTTTAATATGGGTATTGCTGTTGTTGTTGTTGTTGCTGATGATGATATTGTTGACCATATTGTTGTTGTTGTTGAGGTGGTGGTGTATATTGAGTTCCACCATAGGATTGAGAGAGTTCATCCTCTTGTAAAAGTTCCTTCACTTCCCAAATATTTTGTTTAGATCCAACCGAGAATTCCAAATCTTCCTTGGTGATGGAATCCCAGTATTTGTAAACCATCATGACAGCTAATAAAGTACAAATCGTACCAAAGAACAAGCCATCCACATAGTGTTTGACCTGATCACAGATGGTAACGGAAAAGATATAAAGAATGACTTGACCAATCACAAAGAAGGCCGTACCAAACAAGATATCACCCAAGGGCCAACGGTCGTCCAATGTATTGACCACTAAAATCATTTGTGAAATCACATAGACAATGAATGCAACACCATTAATAATGAAATAAAAAGCCCATAATGCACCGGGTTTCGTGAAAGTGAATGGTCCTATTTCTTTAAACGTTGCAATTGCAATAAATCCAGTCACCAAGAATATAACAAACGAACTAATACGGATCGACTATGTATACATATATATATATATGAGGGAGAGAGGGTGAAAATTAGCATGATTTCATAAATGATTACTTTTTCATGCAGCTTATTAAAAATTACCCAGAGTGATAATGGTGTACCGTCTTCTGCAAATTGAAATCCAACAAATCCATTCAGTAATAAACACCAAAATGTAGCACATAAAAATCCAACATGGACTGCTGTAAACCACTAAAAATACATCTTAAATTAATATATTCTTTTTTCATCGCACCCTCCCCCCACCCCTCTCCCCCTCCCCTTAAAAATTATATCTTACTTACTGGATAGACTGGAGAGGATGTAGGAATAATACCAGTAACAAGTAACATCTCTAAAAACGTAGTCATCATGTATAAATAGAAAAACATGACAATTTCCTTTCGACCTAATACATACACAGAAAAGAGTTAAATTGGGAAGAGAGAGAGAACAATCAATAGGTAATCTATATGATAGTTACCAACAGCGGTGTATTTGGATCGAATATGATAAATCATGATGGCCGTCATAACAATAGCCACAATATCAATCACAAGAGTTGCTGTAGGCATCAACAAAAAAGTTAGCGTAAAGACTCTTTCTTTTTATTTAAGACTATATACCAGGCTGAAAAACAAGATTTCCTCCAATATCAATATTACGAGAATAACAAACAGGCTCGACACCATTGACTTGTCCTATTAAAGGACAAAGTGGAAGAGCCACTGTCTGACAAACACCTGTAAAACTAAACGCTTCGAATTTGTATACAATGTCCACCATTTATTAAAGAAATGAGAATGATGATGAAAGAGTTAAAATAAAAAAATTAAAAAGGGAAACAAAAAAAAAACTATAATTAGGGGAGAGAGCCTTTTTTTTTGTGTGTGTGTGTGTGCGTGTGTGTGTGCTTAGTGTGTGTGTAGAGAGCTTGGGGCTTATTCCCAGAAGGGGTGTGTAACTTTTTACTCCCCAAATAAGGCACCCCGATCTACAAACAAGGTTTATTAATAGTTTTTTTTTTTTTTCATTTTTATTAAATTTATAAAACAAAATATATATAATGTCCAATGCCAAAGTCGATTTATCGTCAAATTTGCATCTCAGCGCATATTCAGCAAACCCGGCTTTCTAGCATCTCGAGAAAAAGGGTATTTTAGGCCCTAGAACCGAATATAGGATTCATCTTGTATTCAGCGAGAGGGAGCGCACAAACAACTTTCAGGTCTCTTCTAAAATGGAAACTTAATTGTTCAAATCATACGCTAAAGTCGTCACTAAGATACGTTAATCTTCTAATGCTTTTTTGCCTACTTTACTTTTCATCGTACTTTAAATACTTTTTATAAACCGAGTTGTGGTTCCCTCAACTCTTCTTTTTTTTTAATTTATCTTTTTACCTTCTGACAAGGCTGATGCTTTTGTTTATAATTCTCCCCCCATCCTAAATTGGATGTCCCTTCCAAAAAAAAAAAAAAAAAAAAAAAATAAGCCTCAGTGGTGATTTTGCGCCTAAATAATACAAAAAAAAAAAAAAAATGGTTGCTATACATAAAAAAACAGGATTTGATCAGGTAAAATAGACAAGACCCATGTTCTTTTTACATCTTTCACTAATGAATTAGACCTAATAAAACGATTTATATTAGCTTCCTAACGTAAATCTGTGTCACTTTCCCCTCCCTCCTCCTCTTCTATAGTAATTGACACCCAGTAAACAATGAAAATACTTTTTTTTTTCAGGGACAGATGAGATTCAAAAAAGTTTGTGTTGCGTTAATTTTTAAAAAAAAAAAAAAGATAGAAACTCCTTGGCAACAAAAATACTGGGTTGACCTTCTTTCGCCACCATGTAGTCTTTTCCATGTCACGTCTACAAAAAGTGACATCTCCCACCAGTCAGTGTACCTTTTCTTTTGTGTGTGTATATATATCTGGACAATAACGCAGGACTGGTTTTTAAGAGAGTGTGATTGATAAATATAATTAAATCTTTTTAAACTTGTTTCGATTTAAATGGTCTAGCCCCAGACGTTCCATCCTGAGCTTCTGTCTCAACAGCCATTAGTTTGAGAGATAATAAATAATAATAAAAACACGTGGTCCATGTTTATAATCACGAAACGTGTAGCCTTTACTTGATTTTGCAGTTGTATATTCTGTGCTCACCAATGTATCCTTCAGGTTAGGCCTAAAAGGTTTTTTTTTGTATCTGTCTACTTATCCAAAAAGATAAATCCAGTATTCTTTACTTTTTTTAAAACAAAATTTCGGTTTAGGTACACATGCGGGGGACGGGGAAGGACAGAGAAGAGAGCTCTGAAAAAAAAAAGGAGGAGTATTTAGCTGTACAACTACATCTATTTTTTTTCTCTGGATGTCAGTACTTGGCTTGTGTACTACATGATTATATATGATATGTATACGTCATTAATATATGCACATTATGTATCGGGTCTATTATAGATTCAATACCCTAAAACTTTGAAAGTTGGTACAAATCTGCTTAAATATATCCGTTAGTTATCTTGATTTATGAAGCCTTGTTAATCATGTATCTTTACATATTTATTGTCGCCAGTAAAGAGCAACTTTTCTGTTATTTTAGACTACTCTCTTTCCTGAATGAATACATTGCCAACGCAAATTCTCATCACAATATTCTTACATGTCAAAAAGAACGATAGACTCCAATGCATCCTCGTTTGCAAAAAATGGTTTACCTTGATAACGGAAAACGTTCTTTACGAAAATCTTCAATTCAGAAATATTGACATCTTTGACAAAGCGATCGATCTTTTTGATAAACAACCAGCGTTTGGATCCCATGTTGAAAGTTTGACAATCCAAAGCTGTGACATAGATATGATGTCTGTGTTTTCGATGCCAAGATATTTTCCCAATTTAAAATTTCTGGATTGGAAAGAAGATATTCGACCTACAGAAGAAAGACTTAGAAATGATTTATCGACCAAGGAACTTCCTCGTTCACTTGTATATCAACGCGAACTTAGAAAATGGAACCAACTGGAAAGTATTGATGTCAGGTTGGAAAAACTTCCTTTTTTGACGATGTTGCTTGAATCGTCATCACTAGATAGTTTGACTTCTGTCAAAATTTCCTTTAAGCCATGGCATGTAGACGACCGTTTTGGCAGCGAAACAATGATTAAGCTCCGTCCGATTGTTAAATCCCTCATAAGCAACATTAAGAGCGCTCCTTCTCTTGAACTTTTAGTAATGAAATGCGCTGTTTTGGATTTATCTGACATGGAAGAGCTACATGCTAGTGTACCCAAATTAAAATCATTGGACTTATTTTGCACTGCTATTTCCGGTGGTGCCACAGATGATTGGTTGATCAGCACAAACAAAAAGTCGGTTTTAGACAACAATGGCATGGCAGTTACACCGAATACAGCAAGCACCGTTACAGAGCTCTCCATTACTTTCTATAATACCATATCAGGAATACATAGCATACAGGGTGACTTAAAATATACGATGAAAAAATGGCTGATATATTTAGGATGCAAATATAATGATGCTGAAATCAATCTAAAAGGACGGGGTATCCCATGCTTGCCTGAAATCAGCAATTTCTATGAGCCAATGGTTACTATTATCAGAAAGGGGACAAATAGCACAAGATACCATGCCTTTCTTTACCCAATCACAAAATCGATTATGAATGCAATAGGTGACAGAAAAGTCGAATTAAAATCATTACATATCTATAGTAGCGGGACGATACAAGCTCTTCAAAAGCAGCTGAACATTGTAAAACTATCGAGACAAGCAAAAACTATAACTGGGTTGGAAATCAATTCCAGGTGTTTGCTTCTGAAAGAAAGTCTGGCATGGAGTGTTATTTCAAATAACCTGTCCGTTGACTACTTTCAGTCGTTAAGTATTTTAAGTGTTAACTGTACAATACACCATTGTGCTCTTACTGCGCTGTTTCAAACTTTGCCTCCATTGCTTCAAACTCTATTCTTAAGATCCATTATTCTTAAAGGGGATGACAAGGCTCTGCTGATGATGCCTACTGAAAAATGCAAAATCAACTCTTTATATCTCGGCTTTTCTTGCAAACCAGGTTCAACCATACATCAAATGAATTATGTCTTGGAATTTATACTACAATCTTGTCCGTCATTGACTGACTTTACATTACATGGTCAAACGTGGTCATCTGATAACTCTATGTTGAAGCTTTGGTTTTTCGACCATAATGAATTGAAGAAGATCACTATCAATTTTAATGGAATTCAGTATTACACTTTTTCTTTAATAGAAGAAAAAAGAGGTCTTCGATGGGCAAACTATGATAATCTGGCTGATTCAAGTGACTTGACAGTAGAAAAAATTCATATGGATATTTCATGGAGAAGCAAATATGTTAAGCTCGACTTGGCAAAGGTGCCTCAGAAATGGTAAGGAATAGTATATCATCAATTGTGTGATTAATGTACACATACTTTTTATTGGATTCGTTAAAATGTACAACCATTTAAATTATCACTATTAACTAGTAGCATCATTATTATTTAGTAATTCACTTAGGCCTGCATGGGTTATACCTTCTAAGATGAGTAAACCGGTGAATAGTGCGATATATTTTAACCAATGTTCTAATCCACCAATTAATCAAAATTGAGCTATCCGTCACTAAAGTTTTGTATATACTACAATTTAACAAGGCGTCTGGTTTATTAAAAGGTTATCAATGTCGAATAAAATTACCAAAGAAATTTCAAAAATGCATTGTTTCTGTAGAGTTTGTCAGCAATCAAACCCAATAAATCATGTTTCGGTTGGTTTTTCCTACACGTAATTCGTAAGATGTATCGTTTAGATATATTTAGTCGCTATTAAATCCGAGCAAGTCATTTAATCAAATGTGATACCTGTTCTATCTTAAAAGTTGTCACAAACCCGTTAAATTAATTATATCCTGATTCCAGCATGATTGTGGCATTATAATTAATCACACTTGAACTTTATAAAAGAAAAAAACTTATTTTCTTTCTTCTTTAAAATTATTCGCTTTCATGAATGAACTAAATACAGAAAATCTTATTACGGTCTTCTCAAATATATCTTCTATAAAGGGTAAACTCCAGTGTATTCTTGTATGTAAAAAGTGGTACATGATTATGGCCGAAAATTACCTTTACAAGCAGCTTAACTTCTGCAACATAAACAACTTTAACAAGGCTCTTGATCTATTTGACATAAAACCAAAATTTGGGAATCATGTTGAAAGTCTAACTATCCAAAGCTGCGAAATTGATATTGTATCTGTGTTTTTGTTGCCAAAACAGTTCCCTAATACAAAGCATTTATATTGGTGGGAAGATATTCGGACAGAAGAAGAAAGAATTAATAATGATATATCAATCAAGAATCTTCCTCATCCGCTTATCTATCGACGTGAACTTAGCAGATGGAACCAGCTGGAAAGTATTGATATCAGAACGGAAAGACTTCCTTTTTTGACAGTGTTGTTTGAATCATCGTTACTAGACAATTTGACTTCTGTCAAAATTTGCTTCAACCCATGGCATTTAGACGATTATTTTGACCGCCAAACATTGTCAAAGCTTCGTCCAATAGTCAAATCATTTATCAGCAACATTAAAAACGCCCCATCTCTTGAACGTTTAGTAATGAATTGTGCTGTTTTGGATTTATCTGACATGGAAGACCTACATGCTAGTGTACCCACTTATTATACCCGACCTTCGGGAGATAGAAACAAATCTATCATCCCCCCTCAATTATTCTGTGAAGAAAAACGCCGGTTGTTCCATGAGAGGGTCGTTATTGGAGAGGATAGCCCAGAAGTAGTTACGTTAGAAACAAAAGGAGCTGAGGATATGTTTGGATGGGTCGAAATGGTTGATGACACTTGGTACAATTCTGTAACTGGTGAAAAGAGTGACGTTTCGCCTTACCAATAGTGCTAAACTTAATTTTTTTTTTTTTTCATATATTCCCCTCACCTATTATCATACCAGTACTTGATTAAATAAAAATAATATAACTCAAACTGAACAACAAGACTACTGATTATTTTACATTGTATTCTTACTCACCAGTAAGAGTTATATATTCCCTGAAATAGATATATAAAATAACGGTTACGTTATTTTTATTTTTGTTTTTTGTTTTTTTTTTAAAAAACAACATGATAACTTGTCAAAAAAGAAGTAGTCTCTTATTTGATCATCACAAAACTGATTCAACATATCAGAAATAGTTATTAAATTGTAGAGTAATACCAACTGATAATAATTCGATATTAGCATTGCCTATCTTAGAAACAAGTATGCTCAGAAATTGAGTGATGAGTATCCTCAAGCTAGAGCAGGATTTTTCACTATTTAAAGCATTTCAAGAGGCGACATTTTATTCCTGTGGCGTTTTTTCCTTTTTTAAAAGAACCTGCTTTTCCGATTCCCTCAATAGCAGGTGAAATTGTGTCTCCTTTTTATCAACTTAGTCTCATCCCGTAAGGCATCAGCAGTTAAAAAAAAAAGTAATGGAAAGTAAAGAATCGACATGATTAGCGTAGGTCATCGGAGATTCATTTGAATCCACATTTTTTTTTTTTTCAACTTAAAAATAACCATGGACTGAATTATGACGTTATTTATTTAGCGCCGAATGGGTTATTTATTGCCTATCTCCCTGTCACTCATTGTTCAACTCTTTGCGTTTCACTCTGAAACATTTGTTTACCAAAGGAATCCCAGGAATCCTACATATCTAATTTACTACCGTCGCCATCTTCAGGGACAACCAGGGTGAGTGGCGATATAGAAAAGTCGGACATCGTATTTAATTAACCTTTAAAAGTGCGTCTAGAATTATTCATACACACACTATTCAAGTCTGTCAACCAGATTACATACTTCAAAAAACAAGGAATTAATTCAATGCCTTATTATATAATACCCGTTTAAACATGAAGAGTTTCAAACCTGCATCCTGAATAGAGTCTTTGTTATTTATTTGTATATACCGAATGAAGGAAGTAGTTCATCCAATGTTTCTTTGCAAAACGACGACTAACCCTATCCGTTATACTTTGGCCAGCGCATGAATATGGCTTTGCATTCCCCACTCTAAAATGAGCCATACGTCTCACTATATAATGGGCCCTTCTAATGGGCAAAATCCTCTTTCCTTGCCGAGTGCAACCCAGTTTAGCCTGGAAATGGTTAGATACGCTGCATAACTTATGCGGACTGTACCATATCTTTTATTTTCTCATTTCCACACCTTTGCTGAATCGAACTATAATTAAATATCCCTCTTAGTGGGGAGTCTCCCAGCTATTAGCATGATGTCAAGGGGATTACAGTTTAGCAAACACATTTTAATAATCTCCATTCAGAGGAGCAACCCCACTCCACTCCTTTCACTTGATTTATTATCGTTGCTCTTTAGACTAGGAAACAGAAATGGCCAGAAGGTATCCTGTATACCTGAAAAGCACAACTCCAGGGATCTCTTATCTGGTTTCCCAGGAACTGGGAAAGGGGATGCCTTTTTTTTTTTTACTTAAGCGCTATTGTTGCATTTGTTAGGTTTCACGAAGGCGGAAGTACGCTATATTTACAAGCAAATGTTTTATTGGGCTTAGAAAAAAAAAAAAAAAAAAAAAACTTCGTAATCTATAAAACGAGGTTACACAGAAAAAGACACTTATTCATTTAGTATTTATTTATTAGTTTGCTCCTCTTTTTTTTATTTTTTTTTCTTTTTTTGTTTACTTTTTCCCCTTTTTATATATACATATACACAACAATGATGGAAAGATTTTCAAGGAATAAAGCATTTGCTATGGTGCTGGCAGCGATCTTTGCCATATCGTTACTGGCCCTCTTATCTAATTTGACACCCAACCAATCTTTATTCAAGGGTTCCACTGAGGAAGTGTCGACATTGCCCATGGCGGACGATGGACCTGAAGAAGAAGATCTCGTTGAAATCAGTGCCAAACCACTTAGTGCTGACAAATGGAAGCCCAAGAGCTGGGGACGTTTAAGTGAAGAGATCGAAAAGGCTATTAGTGATAATGTTCGTATTGACAACAAGAAAAAGGGTCAAGAGCGTATTTTATTAACAGCAGTGGCCAACCAAGGCATGGCCGAGTACACATTAAACTGGATTGCGTCACTAAAGAAGACAGGGATGGATAAGAAGTTCTTAGTATTCGCTATTGACGAAGAGATGGTAGAGACAATGAAGGAGCACGGATATGGTAAACATGTAGTGATGATCCCCAAGCAGTGGTTCCACGAAAACTTATCAGGTGAATTTCAACCTTGGTTATCCAATGGATATACGCCTATTACCCACTCCAAGTCACTTGTGGTGGAACGATTACTCTATACCGACGTCACTGTTTGGTTCTCGGATGTCGATATTGTATTCACTTCTCCATCCATTTACGATTATTTGTTGATGAAGTTAAACAGCAGAAAACAAACAGAAACTTTGTTCTCTCAGGAAACCGAGCAAAAGATTATCAATTCTGGTTTTTATATTATGAGACCCACCAACACAAATAAGCGTATTTTGGATGCCTCGATCTATATTCAGGACTCTGAGGCAAAAAAGACCCCTCCTGTCACTCAACAGCGTGCTATGAATCGTGTCTTGGATGATTTAAATTTAAACTATCAAACAAGTAACATCGCTCTCTTGGATTTGGCTTTGTTCCCTCACGGTCGCATGTATTTTGATAATAATGTGCCAACAAAGTTCGGAATGACACCCATGATGGTGCATGCTAACTACCGTAAAGGTGACAACAAGAAGAAGGATTTGCAAAAATTCGGTCTTTGGTATATATAATTGTGGCTGATAAATAAATAAATAATAAATAAAAGCTTTCCCATTTTTCTAAAGACACAAGATTTCCTATTGTACTTAAAATAGTATATGACCTTTTCCTATAATCCGCTTTATACTTGGCAGTGACGCGTATGTACATCATTAATCACATGAGGCAAATAATTAACGCATAACAATGTTTGTAAGTAAAAGAAACAAGTTTTATTCCGGACAATTGAGTGTATTTAGTTATTCACTGGTGCCTTTGCCAAGATGAGTTGTGCATCTTTGTTTCTCCACGCTATATCAACATGCAATTTTTTCCAGGTCAGATCCCAATTCTTTACTGCTCCATTGTAATCCTCCCATTGAAGACCTTGCTTCCCGTCTTTCCATGAAAAAACATAGTAGTGGACTCCTTTGATATTAATTTTGATCGTCTTCAAATCTTCATGATAAAAGAAGCACAGTTTTAAACTCCTGATTTTGGATAGTAGCATAGTTCCGCTTAAAGAGAAATCAACTAGTAGAGGGCAAGACTGAATCACAAACTCCATGACTTGATTCTGCTGTTGCATGGTTGAGTTTTCTTTGCAATTCAAAGTGAGATACAACTTTTGGATTTTGCTTTTGAGTATAGGAACTATGGCTACGTTTTTGTCTTCATCAAAATGAACGGAATCCAAAGATAAGATTTGAAGTGAAGGCAAATTTTGAAGCAATTTAAGTGCACTTTGAAAAATAGCACAGGTGATACCCAAATCGAGCAAAGATTCCAAATGTAAATCAAGAACGATGGAATCTAAAATTGCGCCTTGTCTGAAAATCATGTTATTTGAATTAATCTTCAAGTGACATATAGTTTGTGCTTGTTTTGATGATTTTACCAAAAAGAGATCTAAGTATTTTCTTACAATAACATATTCAAGATCCTTTGAAGTGTGTATAAATTCCGGTATTTTGGGGAAACCGAAACGTGTCTTGGTATACAGCAGCACTAAGACCTTCTGGAAAAAGATGAATTGACATCAAGCGTGCTTCCAGCCCAGAAATTTGAATTCCCCGACCAACCGAGTCTTTGGCAGTTGAATTTCCCATCATTATGACGGATTTTCCATCAATCTGAAAATTTACCTTGATTAAACGTAGTTAACAGCAATCCGATGTTTCGTTGTGAAATAAACGATGTTGTGGCCAAGGCTAAGTTGCATTCAAAATTTTACCATTTTTGATGGCCAAAAAGCATGTATCATGGATAAGCTTGTCGGTTTCGTAGGTATTTATCGCAACTTCTTCAGCACATAAATCGATTTCGTTCCGACCATAATTTAGCAGCAAACGTACATCAATTTTAAATCCTTTTACTTTTTCGTGATCGAAATATTGGGCTTGTTTGCGTTTGGTAGTGTATAGGTTAATCGTTTCGCCTTGTTTCATTCTGATTATCTTTTTTATAGATACAATCCTCTTAATGATGGGAAGCCAGAGGGTGTACACGTCTTGCTCTGAAATGGAACCATTGTTTTCAATAATATTCTTAATCAAACTTGCATCTTCATGGAGAGTAAGGACCCTATAAAATATGGTGAGCTTTTTATCATTTTTAAATATTTATCAGATTATTCTTTCACTTACACATGTCTAAATATCTCAAAATATATAAAATTCACCTCGCTTGTCGATTCAAGACTTTGTAATTTTGAAATATACTTTAATGCAGTAAAAGTACCCTTCTTATGGCAAGTTAAGCAACAGCAGACCAATTATCAGTAACGTTTTTAGGAATAGATGCTGTTATTTCAAATTTGTATTTTTTGTTTAAATAGTCTCCCAACAGCTTCCGTTCTTGATCCGAAAAAATATACTTTTGATAATATACTTTTGATACACGTCTTTTTCATGAGTCAAATCCAAAATTAAGCTTAAACCAAGATCCATTACCAATTTAGCTTCGGAACCAATATTAACCCCCTTTACATATTCGTTATGAATATTCATGGCTTCTTGTTTGATTCGTTTTCCCACGCTTTCGGTTTGATTTTGGACTGTAAAGACGTTGTCAGTTTCTGATATGGTTGATTGTGTTAATGGTGCCTGTAGCTCGGAGTATCATCTTCTGAACTTGAGCTGATGATATCCACGTCCAAAGCCTTCAACAGCGCGTCTGCTTCAAATTTCGCGGCTTGATAATCTTTTGCTGCATTCGCCAGACCTTTCTGTGATTTGGTTTTACTTCTTAGACTATGAGTTATGCGGAGTGTCTCTTTATCAAGTTCTTCTAAATCCTTCAAATCCAGCTTGGTATGGATAACTTCCCGAAGATTAGTTTTGTTCTCCAAGTCAGAAAAGTAGTTTTTGCAAGCTTCGCCATATTTTGACACTGCCATATTAACTGCAAACGAAGTTTTTATGTTGGTAAAAAAGGTCAAGATAGCTCTTATAAATGAATCTGCATCTTGCTTCTTGCTAACTTTCCATTATGTGTCCAATACTTCAATTTTGATCCGTGTAGAATAAGATTAATTTTTCGACTTTTACCTTCATTTAAAGCTATTTCGAGTTAGGGACCAAGTCCAGTCAGGCTCGGCTTTTTAACAGATTTAGGCATGTGAATAAGGTTGATTCTGTTAAAGTGGTAAGAAAACGATAAATTTTTTCTTAAAGGCTGCTCTAAAAAAATTATTGATGACGTAAGATTTTTTTTAAATTTAGCTTTGCTTTTTGGGTGAATTCTCACCACAGAAGACGACACTCAGACAAAAAATAAATCATTAAGACTGCTTTTGCCTGCAAATTTTTTGTAATCTAAATGATTGTTTAGGCCCCGAGTGTCATAAGTGTCATAAGTGTCGTAAGTCCTATTAAACTCAACCACACCTTGGAGGACTGCTAATATACAATAAAAAAATTTTACATGGGAGGGGGGGGGGGGGCATACTACACCATAGCACCTTTTTCTGTTGTTACTATTTTACTATATTGTTATTATAATTCAAATGCCTTTGCAAAACTATTCCGAAGAAAGTAGACAACTCATCAGTGATTTTGACGCTCGAATGAGAGACTTGGTTCAAGAGACAGTTGAAAAGTTAATGCTGGCAGAAAACATTTCTAAGGCCGAGGCTGAAGAGGCCATTGAATTTAATCGTGAAGCAACGCAAGTAGTCTTTCGTAAACGTAAAAGCCCTTACAACGCTTTTACAGAAAAGTTGGCAGCAACTAGGAAAATGGATACTACTGCAGATGTTCAATCCGAAGGTATACTAAACTCACCGTAAATGCTAATTATATCTAATTGTTTGTACGTTTATAGGCTTAATCGCTTTTCAAAAAAATGCGTCTACGCTATACAAAGCATTGAACCCAGCAGAAAAGGCTGCATTGGTAACCGATTATCAACCTGTTAGTAAGCTTACTTCTGAGAAAAAGCACCTGCACCATCTGGAAGCAGTCTCAGAGATGAAGAAAATAATTCACTCCTACAATGCTCTCTGTGGTTCGGACTTCCTCGTTATCAGTGTATTTCCATTAAACGAAAAATCTGGTAATGTTCGTTTGATTATGCATATGCTAACTGCTGGAGGTAAGTCAAATATATTGGGGAGTGTATAGAACAAGCAGCTTACATTATTTTTAAACAAAAGAGCACTGTCTAAGTCTGAAAGACACGATGGGCAGCGAGTTGTCGGCTTTCTTGAAAAAGAGGAACCATGATGCGAACGAGAGAAGTATGTTTTCGTTTAAATTAGATTACTAAAATTATTACTTACATGTTAAAATAAGTATCTAAGCCATATAGTCAGAACGGCAATCTCTTGAGAAAAGAGTATAGTCAAAGAATTTTAGAGTTGTATCGTCAGTTTCCCCTACTACACAAGATTGACACTCTTACTGACATTTTACATTAGATACTCATCCAAGCGCAAAATTTGCTAAAGCATTTCCGTTCCAGAAGTTCAAGGATCAAACTGCTGATCTGAAGATGTTTGGGTGGCCCGAAGATGTCCCAGTTAGAAGGGCCCATGAGCAAACATCTGGCCAAATGCACCTCGTCCTTGAGGCAATTAAAGAAAATAAGATTTCTTTTGCTGTACCAGGTGCAGAAGCAGTTGATACAACTCCGGCTACGCTGGAAGTTTCTTCGCCTGACCTTGCCCATTAACAAAGGTAATTATATCCTTTCTTTTTCCTCGTTTAAATAAATTTAAATACATTTAATACTTGATTTGTTGGGATACTTTTTATTTTGCGTTTTACGTCTTGAATCCCATAAAGAATAAACTGAAATAAAGAATAAACTGAAATAAAGAATAAACTGAAGTAAAGAATAAACTGAAGTAAAGAATAAACTGAAGTAAAGAATAAACTGAAATAAAGAACAGACTGTGGAAATAAAGAACAGACTGTGGAAATAAAGAACAAACTGACATAAATTTAAGATTTTATTAATCTTTCCACTTATAATTTTTTTGTTATAAAACTGCTATGTACAGTAACGTTGCTTTATATGTTGGTTGAGGCTGTGATAGCAGTTTTTTAACGTTTTTCTTTAACAACAATATTTTATTTGACAATATATACACTATCTTATTGGGTATAATAGTACCCTGTAAAAGCTTTGCAATAGGCTTTAAGTAAACAGTTGAATTTAGACGTTGGAGTAGTCCAGAACTTCTGACAGATATTCATATGCTCGCGAGTATAGCTATTGCTGGAATAAACGGCGCTTAAAGGAGACGTCGAGTTAAAAAAAACTTCATGCTCGAAGTATAATTCGTAATTGCGTACTTCATGGGTCATGAGTGCGAAAGTTAGAAACTCCCAGTAGCTTGAGTCGCATTGCCAGTTGTTAAGAGTTGGAAGAGACATAATTTGTCTAGACTTTTGAAGTTGTAATTGCCATTGTTTAAGGCTGGTCTGGTACGATGACACTAAATTACTTTTATCCAAAGACTTCGACTCTTCCATTGCTGAAGTCAAGAACACTGCGCATTTGGGTCTGGTTTTTTCAGCTGTAACTTTTTTATAGTATCTATGGTTGGCTTGTTTCCTTCCACCTAATGAAGGTCGCCCAACATTTGCAGGGGGAGAAGCATTGTGAAATTTAAGTGCATGTCTATTTCGGTTAGAGGTCGAAGAAAATTCTCTTGAACAAACAGAACAACGCGACTTGCTTACGCTACAGTTGTATTTATCATCTTTCGTTGTAAGTGAAGTCATTTGGTTAAAGTGCTAATCTTGTCTATTTAATACATAAAAAAAGGTGTAAAAAGCAAATATTTTAGTTCTTTTAAATGCTCCTTTATGACTGTACGATACGGTGGAAGAGCAATCGACTATCCAATAATTGCGTCTGTTCTTTCATGTCGGGAGAGTCAAAAGATGATTAACTGAGCCACATGTCATGAGTAATATAGCAGCCGATGCTGCATGTAATAATTACGCTGTATATTATAACTTAGAGGCGTATGACAAACGTTATGTTTTATACTCGTTTGTAAGTAAAGCTCTCGTAACTATCAAAACTAGATACGCGCAGTACTACCAACGTCTGCAATTGACACATAAAAGGACTCGTAAGTGGAGGCATACGCTGTGAATTTATTACAATAAAATGATCATGACAATATATTATTACAATAAACATCTCCGAGCAAGCCTATTCTTCTCTACATGTTCTCATCCGAAATTTCAAATAACAAATATTAACTTACAGTGGCAGAGACAAGGCAACTTGTTGTTAGCGAGATGGGTGTGTTTATATTATACGCATTGTGTACATTGGCAAAGGCAATACACTATCTAAAACAGTTTGTTAGTTCTAGAGGAATTGTGATTACAATTTGTCAAGACAAAACAGTATACTTACTCCAAAGCTTAATTCGTTAAAACAAAAATATTTTACTGCCTAGAGATAACACGACGGGAAGGATATTAAAGCAAAGGCGGTACGTTTGATCGGAACACAGTAGTTACATAATCGGTATGTTAAAACTACTTGTTGCTAGCAAGGTGAGATGCCATGTAAGTTAAAAAGTGTAAGGGAGAAAAAAGTAAACAATCACAGGGTATGGGGCTGTAATCTTTCTAATAGAAAAAAAAATTATCTAATTCTATTGGACCGAACAAATGATTCGATTGCGCAATTATTCATCGATTGGATGAAAAAATTTTACTCTTGTATGTCCGATTTTTTTTTGGGATACCCCCCTCACTTTTTCTGAATTTCCTTTTTTTTTAAAAAAAATGGGCGATCTCTAGCTTTATTTTTAGCACACATGATCATTACTGCTTTTCAATATTCAACAAAAACAAAGAATAATAAATGTTTTCAAGTATAGAAGATCTCAGTTTTTTTTATAGTTATATTCAAAATATACTATTTAAATGTGGATATAAATTTAGAGGTATATAATATCATTGGGTTGATCATACAACCAATTCAGTGATTTTTTTTTACATTTCCTTGCAAAATAAATTAGGGCCAATCAAATCCGAGGGATCTGCATATCCAGGAAGTGTCTGTATTGACCATTATACGATATTCTTCTTAATAAAAGTATACAAAAACTATACAGATCAAAAGAAATTAAGTTTCTATATACATGTAAATTTCAACTGTCTTTTTAACCTTTTGTTTTTGCATCTATTTTGATCATTTTCCGATTTCTTGGTTTTTCACACTGTAACATTGCAAATTAGTTTTTTACATGTAGAATAAGTCCCTTCTGATGAAAGTACTCTTTATTTGGTATTTTCTAAAACCTGTAAACATATAGTATATGATATAAGCTTTGAAATAAAAAAAAATATTGTCTATACATGTTTTTATATAAAAAACCCTTAAAAACGAATTATGTATTTTGAAAAATTATGCATAATATGTGGTTATACCTGTTGAAAAAAAAAAGTATGTTTAATTTTGTATTCTTAAATGCAGTTATACTCTATTTTTTTGTAGCTTTCAGATGGTGCTAATACTTTTAGTGATTGTCTTTCCAGTTGTAGCATGAATGTCAAAAAAGAGCTTCAAAATGACAAATGATCCAAAAAAAACTTATACGTATACTATATACATCGCCCAAGCCATGAAACTTTTATATATTGATTTAAGTATAGTATTTAATTAATATTAAATGTAATTCGATGGTTTCTTGTAATATGAATTTAAATAATTCTGGTTTATAGTGTATTCAAATTCGACATTTATGAAATTAAGATTTTATTAATCCTTGCTGAAAAAAAAGCATGAGCCTAAAAAATGTCGTTTTATTAATCCATACTCGGGTGCCGCTTTTTTTTTTGCCCGAGCTTAAAATTAAATCTCTGGTAGAAGATCCATTTCCCCGGCGGCATTCAACAAATCCACCCCTTATCGTGATCGTACACGAGCCTAAAGTTTGTGCGTTTAATGATCCATGAAGGAATTAAGACATTGATATTAAGCTTAAAAGTTTATTATTTGTAATTTTTTTTTTTATTATTGGTTTTCATTTTCTTCTCTACTTTCACTCTCTTCCATGTCTTCTTCCCCATCATCTTCATCCTCCTCTTCACCTTCAGAAACCAGCACCAAGTCTTCTTCATCCTCAACAACATCATCACCTTCAAAATCAACGGTAGGATCAAGGAGGTTGGCAGTGTCAGACTGGGGTTCAGAAGCAAAATTGATAGGAGGGCTGACTCCAAGCAGCACCAAGTATCGCATTGAGTGACTTTTCCATTTATTGCTCTGTTCCAGCTGTCTTTCCAATAAAGTTTTTACACCCTCCGAGATCCCCTTCTCCTCCGCAACACCCGTTCTCTCGAAATCTTCAGCAGCCCAACGCTTTGCCCTTGTGAGTTCCTCGATCTCCACCTCTATATTGGAGAATAGGTTGTGCGCTTCACGCTGTTTTAATGTGAGATGTTAATTATATTTCACACATATAGAGAAACATATAGAGAGTTTATAAGTTCATTTACCTTTAAGAGCTTAAGTTCCTCGTTAGCGTTCCTCACGCACAACCATGGTTCAGTCTTGGGGTGGAGATCGATCCCCCAAAATGGGCTATTTCCATCCAGGAAGGTAGCTGCAGTTATACCTTCCTCTACGATAAAGACTTTAGTGGCCTAAACTTCTAATAACAATTTTGTACTTACGGAATTCCTGGTTGTAGATGTCCAGCAGGTCATCCAGGAGTTTTCGTTGCTTTCCAAGGGCCTTGCCATGTTGACCTGCAAGCTTTGTACCTTATAACGTATTACAATATTTAAAATTTAATTATAACAACAAACAAAAAATTAGGACTTACCAATATGTCCAGATTTGAACATCAAGTTGGTGGTAAACTTGTAAGCTTGCAGGTTGGCTCGCATAGCATCCTTGAAAAGCAACTTTTTTCGTTGGACGAAATCCTCCCACAAGCCAAGGGAGAGCTGGGCAGTTTCAGCGGACAAGTCGGCATAGGCGTGGGGGACGAAATTAGGTATTGTTTGCCTAATTTCATCAAGGACCTTCTCCTGCTTCTTCTCGATATCTTTAATTTGTTGCATGAAGAAGGTCTCCCCAGCTACCTTGATACTACCATCACTGGCCGATACCGTTAATACACCATCTAATCTGTCAATGGCTGCATTACTGGTACCGGTAGAGTTCTCATACATTTTAACTCTGTGATAAAAAAGACATGTTAAATTTAGATATTTTTAGTGATCGTTTCATTATTACCTAAATCTGAACAAGATCGACTCCAAAAGATAAAATCTTGTTACAGATCCCAATGATGGTGGCAAATCACTCCAGATTTTGCTGCACGACTTGCCGCTTCGAGTCAACGCCAGATGCCTCTCCCAAGCCAACGAAATCTCCTCCTGGTTCACACCCTTCAACTTCACTAATCCTGCCGCCAGGATCTTCTTCGTACTTTTGTACTTCCCGTACAAGACACTTGCTATAAACCAAAATAACGTCGTTAGTGATATGCACCATTTCCTTTACAAAAACAACATCTTACCCATTCCCCATTTTTTTTCCATGTTACGATGGCGGATGGCCAACGTAAGAGTCAGCCTTCTGTTGGCCTGAGACATCGGACGTGTAATGGTGACGAATGGTCTGAGTGAAGACCATAAACGTTCCGATGCCTCGCCGTCAGTCCTGCCGTACGATTCAATGTTTTTAGGATTAAAGCTGGACTGACAGCTAATAACATGCGCATAAGCATGAAAAACGGGGAGTGCAAGAGTGCCGTTAGCAGTCAAGTACGGGAAGTGAGTCTATCATAAGAATACATTAGCATTTATGCATCAACAATATTGAATGAGATGTTACCGTCAACGACTTCTCCAAGACACAAATGATGTCGTACATCAAGTTTACTGGCGTCTTAATGCTGTCCTTGTCTTCTTGAAACAAGTCGTGGAGAACAGATAGTGGATATTTAAATCTTTAAATAGAAATTGTGGTTAGTATAAAATAATTTTAAATGTATACAACATACCCTTCACCACTATCCATATCCACCATCTTTAGGGTGAGGTCATGGCGCGCACACGAAGCAGCAAAAAGTCCTTTCACGGGATACAGTTTGGACTTATATGAAGCGCCATTACCTGCAGCTCTGAATGAGTTTTCGTTTAAAAGAGCCTATTGATCGTATTTTCTTGTCAGCAAGCCAAATCGTTTCTAACCTTTCATAATACTTACATCTTTTGGTGGTTTTTCCTTTTTATAGAGCTCAACAGATTCAGGCTTCACCCATGCGTTCTCCACAGTATCAATCGTAAATAATTCATCAAGAAGACTTGCTTTCGACTTACATTTCATACTAAAACATCCATCCATAGTGATGAAAATGCGATCCATAGGATGATTGGAGTCCCTCTATAAAACATGAAGAGGTTACGATCTCATTTGATTTTAATTTATTATGTAAACATACACTGGGACAAGCAGGACAGCACATTGCCAGGTCTTTCAAATCTGTTCGTTGATTGACCTCTTTATCGGCGGCCAAAAGAAGTCGGTTGTACATGTATAGTACATTTCTGCATATATTAGCTGACAAACAACTCTACTCAAACAGATTAGTAGATATATGAAGACTATCTTTACGATAATAAGTACCTGGACGGGGTTTCCCCTTAAGTTGTTGTACAACTTCGCAATACCCTCAGAAGAAGACTTCAGGGTGTTTCGAACTTCATTAAAGAAGCCCAACAAACCCAAGTGGATTGCA